TATCAACGGACAGTTGGTATCAAGTTAAATTCTAGCAATAAAGAAAATGATTACTTTTTGTATTAAGCCATTACTTTGTTTCCCTGCTGTGTGTGCACTTATCAGAAGCCTTTCTAAAGCACTAATCCGGATCCAAACGATCGATCCCATGAAAATAACGCTCATTATTCGCAGTTTTCGTGTCCAACTGACCACTGACGTGTGCCTGACACTTGCTTCCTCCTGCCCGGTCATTCATTTCTTCATTCATTTAGTTTTTTCCTCCTTTCATTCATCTGTGGATTCTTCTTCTCCTTTTCCGTATCCTTCTTTAGCGACCACCTGCCACGACTGTGGTGGGGATCCGGTGAACAACGGATGCAAAATAAAATACCAGATATGTGACTGCAACAACCAATGGGCTCCGATGTAATTTGCTGTAAACACAATTCTCGGCGCTTTATTAGAGGAGCAAACCCATGATTGATTCTGCTGGTTTTCATATCCGCTCAGCGTCTTATTGACGGATATTGGTAAAAGGTTTCACGACTCTGTGCGACATCATTATACAACCGGGAATGAAAAAAAAAACGAAAGAAGAAGAAGAAGAAGAAGAAGAAGAAGAAATAACATTTACAAGATAATGAAGAAATAGTGAGACAGCTAATCAGGGTGAAATTACCATTAACATAATTAGGAAAGTGGGAGGCATTGCAGAGTTGCAAATGGCACGCTATTTACTTTTGGCCAATTAATAATGCGAAACGAACGCGGATTTTTCGGAACTAACGACATCGCATTATAAATTCCTTATTAGGGGACAGTCTGTTGACAATGGACTGCAGTGATGCCTTTAAAAAACGCTGTAGTCATTGTTATTATATAATAGTGATTTGCAAGAGTTTTTAACAATTTTCTCAATAAGACTCGTCAGTAAATGAAGATAAAAAGATCATCATTTATAAAATATTACATAAGAATTATTTATATTTCATTATAATTTTCTTTTTTCTCAATGCACTTAACGCAATTTTATATAACATAAAACGTACAGTTCAAATTTCAGGTCAAATACAGTTATAATTAAGTATTCGGCTCCGGACTTATTGATCCACCCCTATTTGTATGCGCGTATCTATGCATCAATATGGTACCTAGACTTTTTAAATTTAAGCGCAGCACTAGACTGGCGTCGAGATCTCATCAATTTATAGTTGAGCTGGCTAGATGTAGCCGTAAGTTCTATGCTAACAGTTTCTTTTCTCGCTTGTGAAACTCCCTTCCAGCTACATGCTTTCCAGCCAACTTTAATCTGCAAAAATTTAAATGCACCGTTAATTGCTACCTACTGTCCACTTGATTACTCTTTTCTCTTTCCGTACATTGTTTCTAATTCTTACACATCCTGAAAAACCTTGTGTTTTAGTGGCTTTAATGCCTTGCATGGGATCGTACCGATTGAAACAAAATGTATAAAGCCATGACTTGCATGTTACTTGTTCTAGTTTTGTGACAAGGTTTGCAAATCTATTGCAGGACTCAAACGTCATATTATTGTGCACAGGGAGAGGCAAGTTTCCATCTTTACGTGTTGTAAAAGTGAAGCTGGCCTGAACAATCACGGGCCCATAGCAGAACTAACGCTCTGCTATGAATGATGGAAATAAGATTTTGAATGAAGACCACCAAAACTTATCAAGTGAAGAAATGGTCTTCTTCAAAGAAGTGACAATAATCATAAAGCAATGTATGTATTCATATATGTATATGTGTATGCACAAATGTAAAGAAACAGAAATATTCGCATAAAAGTAAATATATAAATATAAAATGATTACAAACATTTGCATGTCAATTTTTACACATATAATTTATAGTTTCTTGTATTTACATAAAACTGCAGTTTTTCCATGTTAACAATATTGGATAATTTTCCCATATATAGATTATGCCTATAACAAGATGCATATACCGTATATTATCGCGCATCAGGGGACCTTTAGATAAGACGAGGTAAAAATATAGCAAATTTTCATGAATTTATCCTATACCTGTAGTATAAGATTACTGATAATTTATTATATAAAGATGTTGTTACTGAAAATTTTACTTGCTATAATTTTTGAAATTCAAAATAAATGAAATACCAAAATCTGTTCTACATCATGTTTTTCCTACACACGGTCCCGTAAAAGGGAAATCATTGTTTCGTTTACGATTCATTACACGTGATCTCTTGCGAATACTGATTCTTCTTCTTCCTGTCCTTTTCCCATATCTAAACAGTTACAAACAGCCATGGTATACTAATGACCATTTACTTATACTTCATCGAAAATCACAAAATACCGCTTATTAGTACGACAGTGCATGTTAATAGTACATTACATTTTCAACATTTTTTTTTCGCAATCATAACTCGATGTTTACATTTTCTCAGTTGAGTTTGCATGGATACAACTTGATTTCATTGATATGGAATTATTCTTTAAATAGGCAATTTATTATGAAGTGATGCTAGTAATATATAAGGTAGACATGGCTTTATTACTTTTATTATGAATTTATTTAATATTATGAATCTTTTCATTTACATTATTGATTATTGCACCGAGGCCGAGGTCAGCCTACCCACAAACATCACTCAGAATTTAAGGTTTCTTTAATAGAATCGTAGTATAAGACGACCCCCAAATTTTAAGGACTATTTGGGGTATTTATAGGTCGTCTTATTCGCGGAAATATTCGGTGTATACATTACAGCTAGTAATGTTGCGCCTATGGAGGAGGTCTGAAAAAATGGCCGTGTACTTTCCCAAATATCGTTGTGTTATTTATTTATAGGTTTCGGTTTTGGAAAAAATCTACATTGAAGCAAACCAAACGAAGACGATTCTGTAAGAGTTTTTTTTTTTTTTTTTTTTAATACAAACAACTAACAACTTCTTTTGGAAATAAGTTTTTAAATTCTAGTTTTGTACAACTGAGTTCCAAATATAAAAGATGGTTGGATTAAAAAAAAAAAAACAAAGATCCCCCCCCCCCGGTCTGTCTATTCGAAAGGAATGTAGAATCGGAAATCGACCATTGGCTACGGTCGGAAATATGTAATTAAGCAGGTAGCATTTGCGGCCATATGGGAACAGATTTAATATTAATCATTAGAGCGTTATTAATTAAGTCTCTTGATGCATTAATGATGCTTGAATAAAGTGTACAAATTAGTCTAGTTTTCTTTTGATTATAAGCTGTTGATTGATAATTGCTGTTAGTGTATTTAAATGAGAAATGTCAGTTTTCATTAAAATGCCTGCATGATTTTATTTCTGTAAAACTTAAGGAAAATTTTGATAAAAGATTTTACACTTTTATGACATAAGGAGGTGCTGGTGAATTGACTATTAATGGCGCGGAAAAAAAGCAATCAATGAATCAAGTTCAGATTCTGGGTCAATCAGTTTGTACTTACACTAATACCATTTAGAAAGACATAAATCCATTTTCTCTTCTTATGAAGGAAGTCTGAAAAATTATTTAGTCTTGGTTGGCAGCCAATCTCTTAAAAAACCTTGAATTCAAAAGCGTGTAAAACAGCACCACTATGCTACTCAATAAGAATCATGCAAATGCACACTTCACAGTTATTAAAATAAAAGAAGTTGTGGAGAGTCATAACTGCTTGGAAAACCAGTTTAGGAAAATGACCACTGTGGAATCAAAACATTTGAAAAGTTGACGATAATCCACACCATTATTTTCCAGTAAGAATTATAGGCAATGCACAGTTTGCACTTATTAAATGAAAGGAAGTTGTGGAGAGCCATGATAGCCTATGTAACCACTCTAGAAAAATGACAACGCAAAACCGTGGAAAAGGCAGCTCCAAACCACACCGCTATATTTTCAAATAAGAATCTGGAGAAAGCCATTGACTTGAAGAGATATGGATGTTTTTTTTTAAAAAAACTTGATTTTGTTTTTATATATCAGCAATAAATGTTACCTTAGGAAATTCAAAATGACATTGTTTATCAATAAAATAAACAATATCCAAGATCCTTGCATATTTCAAAACTCAAAGATGACTTCGAAAAAAAATCATAGACCTTAATATTTTGCTAATGTTTTTTATTGTGTTTCAAATAGTCTTTCAAATGGGATCCTTTCAAAATTTTCATTTATGCAAACATTTTACGAAAGGAGGGTTTTCTGCTAAAAACAGTAGTAGTTCTGTGAAATTTATCTAGCTTATATTCTTGCTGATATTTAGCAAGTTTACTGTAGTGGAGAATAAGACTCAAATATTGTGTTCCGCCAAATTTCAAAGTAAAAAAGGTTGCTTTTTAAATCAGTATTTGAAGTCTTGAATTTTATCTGGATTCGAACATCGACTACTGTCACTGTGTGTATGGCAAATAGAATCTATGGCACTCGGAGAATACTGAACAAATAATTTATAGTATAAAATATGTTAATTAAGCATTAAACACTAAATCACCTGATGACATTTTAGAATACAGAATGCTGCTATCAAGTCAAGTGAATATCAATCTATTAAGACTTAGAGAACTTATAAAATTTATTATTCAATATGTCAATGAGTGCGAGTTTCAAAATCTTCGTAATCCTGTTTAACTTATGCTAACAACTGCAATTTCTATAATGAGCTGCAAGAGACCTTTCAGTAAGCTGAAGCTAATTTAGTTTATTTAGTCAATGCGCCAAGCTGCTAAGTGGAGGAGAGAGGAAACTGAAAATGTGAACTTTGAAGACATGATTAACAGATCTGCATCAGTGAAAGCAAGGTGCATTTTTAGGCCTAACAGGTATCTTCCATAGTTCCTTGCTTCCACCTGTTTTCTTCTGGCAATACTAGTACAATCACTTAAAATACTATTAAATAAAATACTATTTGTTTTCTAGCAATACCAGTACAATACTAGTGCAATACTCGTTCAATTATACGTTCATATTTCTCAATGAAAATATTAGGATTATTAAAAATACTCATCTTTTCGTGAGCCGGTTCTCCTACGATCACCGAAGTTAAGCAATATCAAGCCTGGTTAATACCTAGATTGGTGACGGCTCGGGAATACCTGGTGCGATGTACTGGATAACGGTTCGTGATTGGAAATTGGGTAGATGAGTTCTAATTCCAGGCGAGATCATTATATTTACATATGCGAAAATACATTTGGAGAAGGTATGAACTTAACTCTTCTCCTCCTCCAGTTATAGGATAATTAGTAGGAAATATATCAGTAAATCATTATTATCTCTAAAAAAATTTTATTGTCTATTAATATTTTTTTGGGTTTTGAATAATCGGCAAAAGGTACATAGGGCGTAAAAAGAAAAAAAAATCAATCAAATCTTGTCGTGAAATATTTTATTGATATTGAAACGCTAAAATATAAGTTCCAGTGTCATAATGTTTTAAAAGATTATCTTTGTATCATATTTTATTACGTTTTGTCAATTAAAAATATATAATTGTGTTTTCCTATAGCCTGAGGTCATACACTTTAAAAGATTTGTTTTTGTGAAAATTGTGTTGCCATAATTTCGGAAAATAATGTTAACTTTATATTAGGAACTTCCAAAGGAACGCAATACCTAAGGTTCAAAATTAATTTTTAAAAATGAAAAATCTTTCTTGAAGCTTTTATTTTAGTTTTAATTTCAAGTTAATATATAAAATTAATATTTTCAGTAAGTAAAATACATTTTTCTGTTTTCTAAAATTAATTTAAATTGACTGGAATTAGCTTTCGTTTTGAAATTACTAAAATCGTTGCATTTAGTGACATCTGTCATCACGATGTAATTCTCTTTATTAAAACATCTTTCAAGAATAAAATATATTTTTCTGAAACTTTATTTGAGGAATATTAGCTGATTTAAAGTTTACTTAATCTGATTTGAAACAAATATTACTTTAAGTTCAAAGTATCGTAGAAATGCATTTTTAACACAGTGATAAATGTTTATTTAAGGTGTACACAGGTTGACAACTTGACTGAAAGACGGAAGTTTATCTAATTTTTTTTTCTACAATGGCAATGTCTGTCATATTTACCTTGTGGAATATAACGTGTGCGCCTTTTTTATTATAATTTTTACCTACCCAGTAATCTTAATAATTTAGAAAAATATTTTCCGTTATCTAATGTTTTATTGAATTTTAGATAATTTGATTTTGACTTTACTGCAGTTTTCACTCTTATTTTCGGATAATGTCGTGTTTCGTTATTACAAAAAATCGGTACGTTTATAGACATATAAAAATTGTAAAATTCTTTTAAAAATATTGGTGATAGCTAAATTGTAATAAGGTTTTCCATTTATGATTAAATATAGTTTTAACTTAACAATATCACCTAATCGGTACACATTAAAACAGACTTTTAAAAGATTTGAAATGTTATAAATTATTCTAATTATAATGGAAATAAAATAACAACAATTCCTGTAAAAATTCATTCTACATAGAAATTTTTTTTCTTAAGACAACAGTGTCCATAATATATCATATTCAAAAAAGCGATTAGAAGATTTTCTAATTAAAGAATATCTTAGTTTTATTGCATTTTTCTTTTACGATTCAGAGAATCATCTTCGTCTGGTTTGCTTCAATTTAGATTTTTCCAAAACCGAAACTTATCAATAAATAACGCAAGGGTACGTTTGAAAGTACACGGCCATTTCTTCAGACCTCCTCCATATCTGCAACATTACTACCTGTAATGTATACACCGTATATTTCCGCGTATAAGACGTTCAATTATCAGGTTGACATCCATCTGAATAATTGCAAAGAAATATCTCTGATCAGACTATAAACTGTCGCTAGAGAAAAGAGTGTCTAAAAGAAACTAATGATAGTACCGATTCATGCATTTCCTGAGAGAAATAATACCAAAGTTTTATAAACACAATCATCATAGTTCTTTTGATAATCATTATGGCGCATTGTAAAAAAAATCAGCATTTCTTCTATGTACCGCGTCCCTTCAGGAAATAGCTTTATGGCTTTCCACAAGTTTTTTTTTTTTATCTCATGTAGCTCTTAGCAGTTTTCTCCCTTTGCTAAAGCCCGACCCACCATTCTACTGTCTGTTCAAACATGATTATTAGCCCTCTCTTATCTCTCTTGCCCTCAATATGCCCCGTGAGGGTAAAGTTTTCTAAGCCCTCCTTCCTCATTATTTATTGAAGGAATTTCAGCTGTTTTTTTTTTTGCTTTTGAGTATACGTGTTCTTTCTGTTGCTATTTTCTTTAAGACTTCCTCGATGCTTACACGCTCCGTCCATGGAATTTTCAGTATCCTTCTGTAGAACCACATTATTGCTGCTTATAGTTTTTTTTCTTTATCTGTGGGGATATTGCCCAACACTCACTACTACATAAGAGGATGGATATCATATAACAATCCAGCACTCTTTTCTTTGTTTTTTTAACGAAATTTTTCCCGTTTCTCTGTACCTTGCTTAGCTTTTGAAATGCCTTTCGCTCATCCAATATATGTTCGGATTTCGGTGTCGCTTTTTCCATCCTCTGTGAAAACGCTTTCCAAATATTTGAACTTATGCACCTACTAGATCATTATATTTCCAATTCGTAACTAACATCTTGGGCTTTTTCTCTTGCTGATGATCATACTTTCTATCGTTTTGCAATTGCTCTATCTTATTTTTCTCGCTTTCTAGGAGGTCCTGTAGTGTCCTTTCTCAGTCAGCCTTATAACATAGATTCATATGCGTATCTTATAGTATTAAGATTAAGGTCACTAATGATAAATCCTAGTAGGGTATCTAATTTTCTAAGGAGAGCTTCGCAATAGAGATTAAATAAATATGAGGAGAAGGCGTCCCTTTCTATTCTTTTATAGCTACTAAATTCTTTTTTTTTCTGTCTGTACGCAGGCGGTTTGCTCCCACTATAAGTTCTGGTTTACTCTAACATCTTTTCCAAATGGATCGAGTTTTCCTAGCAGGCAAATAGATAACTTGTGCCATACCTTGCCAAATTCTTTTTGGTAATCTATAAAACATAAGTACACATCCTTCTGGTTTTGTATTGATCCCTAGGATATCATTCTGATCATGAATATCCGGTGTCCTTGACAAAGCAGCACTGTTCTTATGCTATTTCCGGTTTAATACTGTTTCACGTTCTATTAATCAGGATTCGCATCATTAGTTTGATTATGTGGCTTATTAAACTGATTATTCTATGGAGTTCGCATTCATTTGCACCTGTTCTCTTAGGTAATGTTACGAGGATGGATTTATATACTTCGCGAAAATCAATTAGTTTTTTTTTTTTATAATTTTTTTTTCTTCGTCGCCGTTTTCTTCGTTGCCGTCTTCCACGTCGTCTTCTTGTTTCGCATTGGGTTTCGAGTTCCTTCTAAAGTCTACTTCCACTCTATACTTCTAACATTACAGCCTAAAATATAGAACTTTTATTTACTATTTATTTTTCAGTAGAAGTAGATAGGTTTGTCTATCAACCGTTTCACCCCCCCCCGCGCGATCTTTTGAAAAGGAGTAGAGGTTTTTACTCCTCATTTCCTGTTTAGTAGCGGATTTCAGATTGCTTCTAAAAAATTTTCTTCTCTTCCACTTTTGGTGGCCCCTTGCGTCTTGGTGGCATTATCACCTTATTTGGGGTTGTACCTTTTATTCTGGAAAACTTTACCTCGAGTGTGTCTTGGGTCTTGTATAGATTAAACACAATTGTTCAAAAAAGAGTATAGGCTAGGATCGTTTGGAATGTAGGCGATCGTGACCTTTCACATATTTATTATTTTTTGTTACCTGTAAAGTTTCTTATCTTCTTTCGATATTTTATTTTTTTTGTTTAGTTACTGTACGGATTTAAATGATACAAGCATTGAAATACTAAAATTTATAAAGTAAACCTTTGATAATTACAACAGTGATTGACTAACTGGTTTCATTTAGAAATCTTCGCATTTGATGACCAACGGTCACATTCCCAATCTCATGGAGAAAATCGTTGGACAGTAAATCGAATATTGTTACCCCCTTGACTCTGTTTAAAATACATTTATGACATACTACAATCTCAAAGAATTTCCATTAATTATGGCATAGCATGTACAGCTAGGGGTTAGCGGAAACAGTTTCGGTATTGGTAACCCGAGTTCAAATCCCGTTCGATATTCTTACACTCTCTTCCGCAGAAATATACTTGGGTGTGGTATGATGTACCTCTTTTCCCCGCAGTTACGCATTAACGCAGGGTAGATTGTGCTATCTATTATGGCTGGTAACTAGTGTCGGAGCAGGGTAGCTCTTATTTTAAAACTAAGTACAAAAGATATTTAGACATGGGGTGTGGATACCACGTCTGTAAAACAGAAGCATAATAGATTTCAACATCTATAGATAATCTCACTGGACAGTGATTATCCAGAATGCTTTTGATATTAACAGCAATTGAGTTTAAGCTGGAGGGATTGTCTAGAAATTGATATTTACATATTATATTATATATCTATATATTATTCATATGCCATTAGTCAAGAAAATTATGGGAAGGATAATGAGGAAAATCAATTAGAAATCCTTCACAATTTTATTAATGAACGATATGGTTTGGTTTATGATGTTTTACGGTATATCAACACCTCTCAATATGTTACTTAATGCAGACAACATTTTTCCGATATGCTTGTATGAATAGAATATGCATTCTTTCTAAGAAATCACTTTGTAGGTCAGGTTTCATTGACGTATTTTTGTAAAGAGAGTTTTTGTCAAGAGTCAAACCTATTAGTGTTTATTTTTTTTAGTCAAATGTATTGCTGGTAATATTTTTTCAAAAATGTATTGCTGGTGTTCTTATTATAAAAATCTATTTTTATACTTTGATAGTACTTTGACCTCAATTTGGCGGTTAACTAAGTTCTCATATGTGGAGCCCTAACTGGTGCTACCACCCAGGGTCAGAATAGACTTGGGAACAACAGCAATTATCCACGCTCCTGAAAACCTCCCGATTAGAGACCTTGCTACCGGATGTAGTTTTTCGTCATACTCAGGACTGTGCGTGATATGGCTGAAGTAGAAAT